CGGGGACGCAAGCGGCGCGGGCGTGTGGGCACGCGTTGGCAGGGAGACGCACGCGACCATAGTCCTCGAGGAATCAGGGGAAGCAAATGAGGAGAGTGCACGCGCGCGCGAGGACAAAGATGCCTTAGTCCTCGAGGCAATAGGTAAAGCGGCCAAAGGCGAGACCCGTGGCGGTTAGGGTTTCGGACGTGCCGCGCAAGTCAAGGATCTTTAGGATTCTTCTAGATCTTTAATTTTCTTATTACTTTATGTTTCCTAGATTATTTAGGACTCTTAATATTTTATTGCTTATTTGGTTGTTTAGTTTGATTAGGACTAGATATACTTTGACGCCTATACAAAGGCCTATGCTTTTGTTATTTGAGGCATTCAGAAATATATACAAAAAATCGAACTTTGTTCAACTCCTTGCTCTAGAATTCCCTACGTTTTCTTTTGCAACTAACTCTCGAACGGGCGCGCAAGTGAACCTCCGAACCCGTCGTCGTGACCGAGGCGCTTTTGTGGCTCGACCGGCAATCGGACGCACGATCTCTCATCACCGTGCTGCGTCGCAGAGGCCAGGCAGTGCCTCTGTCCATGCCCGCGCCTAGCGCTCGCTAGGCACCGCAGCCCCAGCAGGGCCCAGCAGCGCCTGTCCGTGCCAGCCAGCGAGGTCTCAGCGCCAGTCGCGCCAGAGCACCTCCAACAGCGCTGTCCCAACGTCAGTGCACGCGTGACCTCAAGCCAGACGCTCGTGCCACGCAGAGTCGACCTCGGGTCGTGCCAGCAGCGCACCCGAGTGTTCAGTGCCGCACCTTACTGAACCCGAGCCGTGTTCAGAGGCCTCAGGACGTGCCCAGCAGCACGCCCAAGCACTCAGTTGGCCCGGGACGTGCCCAACAGCTCGTCCGCGTGCCCAGGGTCACCTAGCAGTGCCCTAACAGCCTTAGTCGCGCCAGAGTCGCATGAGTAGTGCGTGGCTGCGCCAGTTTTCGCGCCAGCCGCACTCGGGCCGTGACCAGTCGCACGCCCCAGTGCCCAGTCGCACTCCCAGCGCCCAGTTAATCTCGGCTGTGCCCAGTAGCACCCGAGTGGCACCAGTCGTGCCCGTGCTCGCGCCAGTAGCACACCAGAGCACCCAGCCACCCTTAGCCGTGCCCAGCAGCACCTAGTGGCACCAGTCATGCTAGGGCCCGTGCTAGCCGGACCGCCCGCGCCCAACAGCGCCTAGTACTGAGGCCCGGTCGCACCCAGCGCCGTGCCAGGGCCCCAGCAGGCCCGACACGGGACCGAGCCCGGCCAGTCCATGCAGCCCGTGACCACCCGGTCCAGAGTGAACCGGCGGTCCGACCCGATCCGGTTCAGCCCGACGTGGTTCTGTTAGTGAGCGAACCGGCCGGTTTAGCCGGCGGTTCGAGTCAGTTTTGGTTCGTGATTTTCGGTCCGAGTCTTATTCCAAAATCTAAGTGATTTTCCGAGCTAGACCAAATCAGTTAAGCATATCAGTCTATTTTCCGGACTTAGAATTATTTTAGTGAATCCGTAGAGCGTTCCTTTTTATCCGGACGAGTGATCTGATAGAGTAGAGCATCCTAGCATATTATTGAGCATATGACGAGCATAGTACTTAGTATATTTATTTGCTTATATTTTTATGTAGCTTGATGAGTCAGCTACCAGCACAGCCGCACTTACATATTTTCAAAGCAAATCAGGTGGGGACCCAGTCTGGGTTATACATTGAGTATAATAGTCGATATCACGTTCAGGTATGTATATGAGTTTTATCCGCTTGGGGTTAAGGCCGAGTTGTCCTTCCCTATGTTCTGGTGGTGGCCCAGTTCGCCTTAAATATACCATCGGAGTGTGAACACGGTACCGACCAGAGTGTCCGGGAGTTACCAGCCAGAGTGTCCGGGAGTTACCGGCCAGAGTGTCCGGGAGATTATAGTTACCGGCCAGAGTGTCCGGGAGTTTCAGTTACTTATATATACCGGATCTGTGATATCATTATTATTATTGTTATTTACTTTAGAATGGGTTTTTATCGAGTACAAGTGGACCGTACTTACCCCCACTTTATATTTTCAGATGGCAGGGTCGGCGGGCAGGCGTGAGTCAAGCTGTGGTGGTTGTGGTCGTGGAGATGGCACAGCGAGCCGTTCCAGGGACATTTTTTATCATGTTTTGTATAACTAATATTTCACGCATTTTCAGACTTTCCGCTATGCTTGCTTTTATTTCGAACTTGCACAACAGTACTTTCAGACTTAAATAATTTACCCAGTTCGCCAGTACGAACGAAACCAGTTAAAAATGCAAGATTCGATAAAAGATTTAAATCTAATTTTCTTAAAGTCTAAACCAGTTGATAGACCTAGTTAAAGAAAATGAATTTTCAAAGCAAATAAGTTTCAGCAGCATCCCGAGATAGTTTGCAAATGATTTCGAAAAAATTTATAAGCGTTTTCGAAAGAGTTAAAATTTGCAAAAAATTGGCCCTATAGAAGCGGGGTGTTGCATTGATTTTAAAGAAATTCCGGACTTTCAGAAAAATCAGATTAAATTTTTTCAAAATTTATTTCAAACATACTTTTGGCGTAACTCATTTTTAACATCAAACATCAACATAATTTTTAACTCCCAAAATGGGTTTCCTAAAAGTTCACCAATTACCCAAACCGGGTTCCAATAATAATCATAGTATCTAAGGAGCATCTCCTTAACATTATTTCAATCATTGTATCCGAAAATCATAAATGCATAAATATCCCAAGTTCATAAATCATAGAATCAGTTTATAACACGGAAGCATAACAAATAATAAAACCGGTCTCATAGACCGACCACCACTCGCTCTACTCCACCGTCGTACCCGCCTTGCTTAACCTGAAATGTTAATTTCAGGTGGGAGTGAGCACAATTGGAATTCGTAGTGCTCACCACTATGCAGTAAACATTTATCAATATATAAAAACAATAATCATAAATAAGTTAGGTATGGTCGCAGCATGTATACAAATCAATTAATTATCCCATCTCCTATCCCAGAGTCAACCCTCATGTGCACACCTACGCATAGACTACTGCTGATACTCGATTCGAATGCCAAAACCTACGTCTTGGTCTTACAACGATGCCCAGCCAGTAGGAGTAATCCACCCCGCCGGCCAAGACCTACGAATTGATCTTACAAATGGGGATCACCAGCCAAGGGCCCATGCCCCGGTCTTACGGCCATACATAAATAAAGGAGACTACCCATAGGGTACGTTCTATAGCTACGGGGATAACCGTTCAACGGCTGGTACAGCTCACATCGAAGGCCACATGGTTCACATGCATACATTGATCATACCACACGTAAGACAACAATTTACTGCATAGCAATTTTAAATAAAACTCACCTGGTAACAGCAGGAGATAAAGCACAACAATTGATTGGAAGGCGAGCTCGACTCGTCAAACACCTACATTTATTAAAATAATCCTATAAATAACTATTGCACACATGGGTTCACTCATTTCAACATTCATGTGATCAGACTCGACTCATATAGTTCATATAAGCAAGCAATGAAAGACAAATTTGATTTTTTGAAAACAACACATAAATTTCCAAAACATAACCCGCAACGATTTTGAAATTGACACATTTACAACACATAATTCATATTGACACAAATCCAGTTGCATATGAATCCTAAGACATGCCTCTACAATTTTCATGAAGAAATCAGAAGCAAATAATGGCATTTTGAAGGTCTTAAATCGTCAAACATATGAAACAGGGATGCTGTGAAAATCTGGAAACATATAGTGGACAGAACCTCAGTATATTAAATATAAATGGGGCTACAGACATGCTATTGAGGAAATTCAAAAACCAAAATGTAGCTAACTCAAATATAAAAAACTTTACGGAAGACCACATTGGCAAATAAGGGCATTATAAACAGTTTTAAACACAAAACATTTAGGTCATAAAATGTGTTAGAATTTGATTCGGCTTACAAATAACACTTCAGTATTTATAGTCTAAATCATGCTATAGACCTCTAATTGACCAGATTTAAAAACCTATGGATAGTCAAGATACATAGAAACAATTGTCATGAAGACCACTTTCACATTTGAGCATGTTAGAACATCAATTGTAGACCAAACTTCGATATCATATACACAGCCGATTTTTCAGAAAAACTGCTTGCACAACATTATTATAAAAATTACACCTCATGCTACACTTATCATATTGACATGCTTCTTATCTTGTTAGAAACCTACGAGATAGTTCTACAACTTTTATTCAGAATACTGAAGCAGATAAGGTCATTACAGAGGGATAAAATCAATTAACATTTAGAACCACCTTGATGTCCAAAAGTATAACTCACTACATGCATATCCTACTTCAATCTAACACAAGCCGAGCTACAGCCATCATATCAGCACGAACTATACCTCATCAGAAAGCTTAAAAAAATACCTATAACTTTCATGAAGATTACATTTTTATTTGAGCACATTAATATGCAACAAACAGATAAAACATTCAACACACACATGCTGCCGGGATTTGTTAAAAACTGCTTGCGCGACAATTTTGTAAAAGTTATAACTCTCTCATTTCAAGTCTGATTTTAGAAATTCCAAAACTCACAGAACCAAAACCAAATGAACTTCAAATCATATGAAGAACATAATTTTGGAAAAGGAGTTTTTCATGCCCTTTCAGGCTCGACAGAGGCTGTAATAACACCTTAAATCATGAAATCTTAATGAACCTTCACCTTATTAATTTCTATAACAAAGCAACTCATTACATCAAACCAACACCAGAATATCTCATATTAAGACACATAAACAAGGTTAGGTTCATACTTAGCATTCTTTATCAAGACTTCATTCAAATTCAATATAGATCACCATATAGGCTCGTAAATTCACTCGGACCACAACATATATATATACATATATATATATATATATATATATATATATATATANACAAGCCATCATGTACCGTCCTCGGGATTACTACGCGAAAATGAGTCGAGAGAAGGGCTGGATGGGTGCAGCCGCGCGGTGCTCGGGCTCGACGAGTTGCGCGTCTCGGCTCGGTAACTTCGCGTGACTCGTTCGTGGCTCGCGGGGGTGGCCTGAGGTGACAAGGTAAGCCAACAGTGGGGTCGGTAATCACTCACGACAATGGCTGGTGGTGGCGGCGTCTCTTCTTCCTTCTGGTGAGAAAGTGAACGAGAGCGAGGGTGAAGAGAGAGCGATCGATTCCTCTCTCTTTTTTTTTTATGCGAGAGAGAAGAGATTGAGAGATGGTGGCGATCGATCTGAGGGGAGAGAGAGAGAGAGAGATGTTGCGCGAGGAAAAGAAAAATAGAGAGGAAGGGAAGAAAAATCTCATGGTTTTATATATTTAGGGTATAAGTCTTTCCCAACAAGAAAATAAAAGCGGGTCGGGTCGTCGGGCTCGCGGGTCGGCCGGTTTTTGGGCTGGTTCGGCGCGTGGGCCGGTTTCTCGGGCCCGACACTTAACGAATATTTATATTCGAGGCTCGGAGAAATAAATACGATGACCCGAAAATTAACCAATATAAACCGACATTATTTATATATTTTTACGATACTCGGGAAAATACTACATGACCTCCGGAAATATTTTAAATTATAAAACCGGCATTCATACCTATACATTTATAATACACACAATATTTATTTATATTTTAATAAACAATTAATAACAATTAAAAAAATTAATGAGAGCAATAATAATAATAACAATAATTCCACAATTATCCGAAAATCCAAACAAACGAACGGGCTAATTCCGAATTACGCGATTTAACCGAAATTGCCAAACGACGAACGTATAAAAATAAAATGATTGAGTACTTAATACTATAAATTAAGTACCTCACAACCAATATAATAAATATAATCTCAAAAATAAAATTCGATAAATAGAATAATCCGAAAAATCCTATAAATCGAACGGGGCGCTACAGATTTTCTGGCTGAGTAGTTTTAGGTGGATGGGGGGCCTTGACTATGTTTTCTTATTTGAGGGCAGTAGTATTATGGAGCAACACTTAGCAGGTAAGTTGCAGAAATTTATGTTGTCTGATAGAGAAGAACAAGGAGTGGAACTTCTTGTTGATGACATAGCTCCTAGTATTAGAGAAAATAGCTTAGTTTGATAGGTAAGATCTTTGGGGATCAAAAGGCCAACTTTAGTGGTGTGAAGGCAACCCCAGGGGTATTTACTAGACAACCTTTCTCTGTAAGAAACTTAGGAAATAATAGCTTTCAATTCCTGTTTCAATCTGAGGAAGATAGAGATAAGATTATGAAAGGAAAGTCTTGGTCTTTTGATGGCCAATATATATTCTGCTAAAACATTGGAATCCTGCATCTATTGATTTTTCCCCAAAGGAAGAATTAATAAAATTATGGGTCCATATCTTGAATCTGCCTCTACATTGGATTTCCATTGAAATGGGTTTGAAGATTAGTAAGTTGATTGGCAAAACATTGCATATTCAAATGCCAGGAGCTGATGGTCAACAAGGCCAGGTTGTGAAAGTACTGGTATAAATCAAAGTGAAGGAGGCTATCCTGAGAGGCTCTCACATCAAAGTAGGTTCAGAGTCCAAATGGGTGGACTTCAAGTATGAAAACTTGCAAAAATTTTGTTTTTACTATTGAAAAATTCGGCATTCAGATAGAAATAGTAATGTTAAAACTGAAGATATTAATAGCAATATGCTGAATGTGAGTCAGTTTGGTGAATGTCTTAGAGTCTACCCTGCATCCTTTAGTGACAATAGGAACACTTCAAGTCAAAACTTAGGCAGTCAGAATAGTGCAAAGGTGAATTCTGGTAGTCTTGACATTTCCTTGGCTAAAAATGAAGTAGGGGAGAAAAGTAGGAACATTGACTCCTTATTACAGGAAAGTTCCTTAAAAGGAGGCATTGGTAGTAACCAACCTGAGGGTCTGGGCATGGAATTTTTTCCTTACCTGGAGAACTCTCAAAGTTTCACCAAATGTGAGTCTTTCAAAGAGAGTACTTCTAAAACTGTCAATCTTCATATTGAGGCTAGTTTGGTTGAAGTTGAGATTCAACCTTTATCTATTGGAGGTAGGATTGCCCAGAGGAAAAATCTACTTTTTCTAGAAAAAATAGGCTAATAATGAATCTAGGCTTGAGGGAATGCAAATTGACAAGCCAAGAGCTCTAGCAGCTTCTGAAAAAGAGAAGATGCCTTGTAAGAGAGGGTTTGAGAAATTTCTTCAAACTAAGTTGGAACTTAAAGAAATATTCAGGAAGTTAAGAAATTAAAATTGTCTGGGGGAATTTTTTTATCTGAGGTGGAGGTAATCAGCCCTAAATGGTCACGAGGTTTCCAATGAAGGCTTTTGTGTGGTGAAAGAAACTGGAGGAATAACGGGTGCGGGCCCACTAACATGAACCGCACCATAAGCGGGGAAAGCCCAGATGAAGCCCAAGTGGGGTTCCATCCCAAAAACAATTTGTGGAAGGAGGAGTAGCCCATTAGACTTATAAAGTGGGTCTATACTCACAAGTGATATTCTAACACGCCATCTCACTTGTCAGTTCTTAATAAGAAGCCAAAGCTCATATACAGAGCTGGGTTCCCCAAGCCCTACTAGAAACAGGCTCCCATAAACGGATACGTGGGCCCAAGCTCTACAGGCTCCCATAAACGGGTACGTAGGCCCAAGCCCTACAGGCTCCCACATCGTTCATGTTAGTGGGACCACACCCATTTTCCCTAGTTTCTTACATGGTATCAGAGCCGGTTCTATTAATGACCGTGCGATGACGTACCCATCTCCCAGCCAGTTGGGCTTGGGCTTTCGAAGGACTCACAAGTGAGGGGGCGTGTTAGAATATCGCTTGTGAGTTGTCCCACATTGTTCATGTTAGTGGGACCGTACTCGTTTTTCCCCAGTTTCTTACATGTGGAATTGTAGAGGTTTGGGTGGACAATCTACAATTTTGCAATAATTCAATGAAACGTTAAGGATCCATCACCCGGATTTTGCCTTTTTTGTCTGAAACAAAAAAAAAAATAAAAAAAAAAATCATCATTTCTATGTGTGAAAAGTTATAGTTGCAAGATAGGTGGCACTATGTCAAGCCAGTGGGTAGAAAGGGTGGTTTGTTCTTGACTTGGTAAGAAAACGTCTCTTTAATTGAGTTAAGAAGCCTTGATTTCTATATAGAAATCAAGTTTAGGTTTAAAGGTCTCTCTAACACTTGTGAAAGGTGATGTTTAATGTGCTATTAAGAGTTTTTTTGCTTCTGGTCAACTTTTGAAAGCATGGAATCATACCCTTATTACTCTAATTCTCAAATGTCTTTATCCTCAATATCTCAGTAATTTCAGACCAATCAGTTTATGTGAAGGGCTTTATAAAGTTATTGCTAAGATTCTTGCTGCTAGATTGAAGGTGTGCTTATCATATTGTGTGAGTCCTGCTCAAACCACCTTTGTTCCAGGCAGACAGTTGCTTAACAATGCCATTATTGCACATGAATGTTTCCATTTCTTAAATAGACACATGTCTGGACCTAATAGATCCATGGCAATCAAACTCAATATGGAAAAAGCATATGACAGGATTGAGTGGGACTGCATTAGAAAGACAATGGTTAAAATGGGTTTTCATCCTTTATTCATTAAGTGGATCCTAGTCAAAGATTACTGGGACCCCTTGTCCCAGTACTTATTTATTTTAGTGTCAGAGGTTTTCTCTTCTCTATTGGCATATCAGTCCAGAATGGGTATTTTCAGAGGTGTTAAGATTTCACAGATAGACCTGTCATTTCTCATTTATTGTTTGCAGACGACTCTTTGGTTTTGTGCAAGGCTGATGAGGAGCATGCTCATTTGATTGTTGATATTCTCATGCAGTATAAAGCTTTTACAGGCCAAAAGGTTAATTGGGCCAAATCAGCTTTGTTTGTCAGTAGAAATTGCTCTGAGGGTGATAAGGAGAGAATCAGTGGCATTTTAAATGGGATCTCAGTGCACAGCTCTACTAAATATCTAGTAAGGAAGTTCTTGTTAAAGTCATCCTTAATGCCATGTCAGTCTTTGTTATGTCCTGCTTCATCTTACCAGTTGGGGTGTGCAGACTGATGGCCAAATTTTGGTGGAGCAAGGGGGTGGACTTACATCAGGGTTTGCTTTGGAAATCTTGTGATAATTGTCCTTACTAAAGCAGAATGGGGGATTAGGCTTCAAAGATACTAAAATTTTCAATAAAGCTCTCATTTGCAAACAACTTTGGAGAATCTATACTAATTCAGAGCTGTTGTTAGCAAGGTCATAAAGCATAAATACTTTCCATCTGGCTCTATGTTTGATTATTAGAAGGTGCAGGGAGCTTCTTTGGCTATGGAATTCTTGGTCATCTTTGATTGGGACTCTGCTAAAGGGGTTGGAAATCACAGTTAGAAATGGTTCTAGCACCAAAGTTTCAGATTTTAACTGGGTCCTCGGGCTCGAAGGAGAAAAACCAAGATTTAGGCTGCAGGATGTTAGGGAATCTCTTTGGGTGAAGGATTTCTTGCTGAGGTGGGGATCTTGTTGGGACAGTAGTTTGGTCAAAGCTCTATTCCAGGAGAGAGATGTAGAGCACATTTTAAGGATTTAGACTTTAAATCCTTTATTGCCTGATAGAAGGAATGCTCTTTTGAAGTCCAACATAAGTTCTATGTGGCCTCTCTTTATGCTAATCTGATTGGGGAAAACATGGTGTTGTATGAAGAAGCTGAGAATAGCAGGTTGGCTTGGTTAAATGCTAAGGCTAGACTTAGATGTTGGAAATCGAAAGTGGTGGGAAAGGTTAGACATTTTATTTGGAAGTGTATATCCAATATCTTATCTGTAGGTGCAAATGTGGAGAGGAAGGGGTTCTCAATAGATGGGATATGCAGAATATGTGGAGAAACAGAGGAGACTCAAGAACACTTGTTTTTTACTTGTTCTCAGGCAAGAAAAACGTGGAAATTGGCACCAGTTAGTTGCGAGAAAACTCAATCTAAGCATATGAGTTTCAAGGAGTGGTGGTGGTGGTTGAGTACTATGGATTCTAAACCTTCATCGGTGGA